TAATGATCGCAATAAAGTTGTGGAACGTTTTTTCTTAGCACCAAGTGTTGATAATACCTTTAAATGTATTAAGTATAAATGTTTTTTCATTTAAAATATTCTACAATCATTTACTTTGACCATTTGTGGTAGACTTATTGAAGAGATCAATTTGGCAGCTTCATCATCTCCTGTAATTCCAAGGACTGTAGATAGATCACTAAACAAATGTTCTTTGTCTTTCGTATTTTCTTTCCCTAACATCCTACATAACTTTAAAAACCTTAAATCAGATTCAAATTCTGACAATTTTACTCGGCCAGAACTAGCCCATTCAGCTAAAGTAGATACAGCCTGTATAAAAAAAAAAAAAAAAATTGAAATAATATATTAGGATATCATATTAAAATGTGAATWACATATTTTTTAATGATAAGATTTATTAAGCTAGGAAAATATTCACTTTTAGCGCATGTTGTTTAGAGACTAATCCTATGTCTGATATTGCCAATATTTCTTCGACTGTAGTGGCATTATCAATTGTATTATTTATAATATAGAATGATGACTTTTTTGTTTTAGCATCATCAATTTCTTTTAATGATTGAAAAGCAGCTGCTACAATATTATTGGGCACTTTTGATTCATCGAGGCGAACTAGTTTAGTAGTAGTTATACTAGAAGACTGCATTCTTACAACAGACATAAAGTGTCTTGGCATTCTTGACCACCTCATCATWATGTATATTGAATTAAAAAAATCACCTGAAAAGTAAGTATGATTTTATTCTTGGTATTTATGATATTTCATTAAAAAAAAATACTAAAACAAATAATTAAAACAAGAGATGATATATTATATTTTTTACATGCTATAAATGCAAATTAAACCAACAAAAAATAGTTATATATAATAATATATACAAATACTAATATTTAAATTATAAATTTTATTGTTCAAGATTATTGATTTTAAGGAATAACTGAAAGTTTTTAATCAATATAAAAACTTGACATTTTAACAGATTCAGGGACAATTTTTTTAAGATTTAATCTTAAGAGGCAAAAAACTATTTTAATTTATAATTAGTAAATACAATAAATAATTGTAGTAATTTTATATTTTTATGAAACTCACAGGTTTTTCTTCACAAAAAATGAGTTTGCATGTGTGTTTTTAGTTCAACAAAATTATATACACAATATATACAATTAAAAAAACATATTAATTTGGTATTTAATACAAACTATAATTAAGTGTACATATATTACAATAATTGAAGCAACTAAACTCGCGCTTATTACTTCAACTGGGATATTAACATTAAGATTCAATTTCACAAGGGTTAGTTTATAAGTTCATGTGATTATAATTATGCTTGTATTGATATTAAGTGATAACACGATAACACGGAAGGCTGTAGCAGCCATGTTTTGGTGTTCCTCAATTACAGCTGGTTAATATTTTACTTTTACCAATCGTAAATTTTGGTAAAAAGCCGAGTTAAAAACAATAATATTTTATATTTAAATTTTTTTTATACACAAATTTACTATAATTTATAAATCTATAGATGGCCAACAGATAAAAGTATAAAATGTTATCTACATCGCGATAAATAGTCAAAAATTATATTATTTATTATTAAGTACTCTACGCCATGTTCTCAAATGATATAATTATTAATTATTTACTATTCAAAGTCATTTTTAATTACTACATAATTTTCCCAATTTTAAGATAGCCTCAAAAATAACAACTAATTTTACAATCATCTATTTGATATGAACGGATATCGTATACTATACATTAAATGCTTAYAATATGAATTAATTGCAATTTAAAAAATGCGTTAGATACATTATAGGTTGATTGTTAATTAAATGTATCACTACCTGATTGGCATTTCTATTGGAACTTTTAATTTAAAATTGTAAACAATTTATTTCTCGAAATAATTGAAAAATTTAGAGTTATAGACATTTGTATGTCTATGTAGTACGTGTAGAGGTCATTAAAGGATACGCTGTTCGGAAGTGACTAAAAAATAAAAATATGTGTTACGATGAATTATTAAAATCATAATCCTTAATAATATAATATAAACATATTAAGTAATTAAGTGAAATTTTAAAAATAACAAGTATTTATAAAACCTGCGAATTATATAATATGTGGAAGACCAGTGCACCAATCACATTTGAGTATTTGACTTAAGAACCTAGTTTCTCGAGGTTAGGTTTATTTTAGGTGTAGGTATTTTACATTAATTTTCCAACAAATTTTGGTAATTTTGCGGTAGATATTGTTAATTGTTATTAGTTGCGGATAATACCAGATAATATGTAGATTGCAGGCCATGGCAATATAATAATTATATAGGTGCATTATWGAGTTTTCGTTGTTATTTGTTAATGATTTTAATATTTACTTCTGTGAAGTACCGACGAATACGGAATACTCATAGTATATTATATTTGTTGTTTCTAAGTTACAAATTAACCTGGTATAAGTTTAAAGTTTCAACCATATTTATCTTTCTATAAATAGTAAATACCAATTTTATATTTAGACATAAAATTATATAAATAAAAATTGTAAATTA